AATCGGTTTGGCGTGATTTGACTGTCATTCAAATGCCTTTTGTCTGAAGAGTGAGAAAACGGGGTCACGCTGGCTGAGAGAGTGTACTGTGAAATGCATACTGTCTGACGTTCTCCATACTGTGAGTGCTGGCAAAGTCTGCGCCGCATTTGCAGAGGAAGCTGAACTCGAAACCGGACGGTCTGGAGTAAAAAAACACAGTGATTTACTCCTCCATGCTCAACTGAAGAAAGGATTGCATTGCTGTCCAATAGAGTGACGCCAGCAAGGTGTCAATACCAGTCTGTTTCTTTTTCTAACCGATCACCATGACAACCCTCTGACTCTGGCGGCACGCAGGCATACACCCCTCCCCCATTCCTCCATCCCCCCCATCATCTCTCTCTCTCCATCTCTATCTCTCCATCTCTCCTCATCTGTCGCTTCTTCCTTTCTGGCACAACTTCAGCATCTCCCTTATGTTTTCTCCTGCGCACGGATGGCTGATGTGACGTTGCAGTCTAGGCTGACAAGTCAGTCAAGCTGTTTTTTTATGCAGAAGTTAGCATACCTGAACATCTGAATGTAAGAGGCGGTTCTAGATCCTATTGAGGAAGCTCTAGTCCCATTTGTTTGTCATTTCAGCTCACGTAACTATCAACTATTTAATTACCAAATGTATTTAAATAGTTTGATATGTAATAAATAAATACATATATACACAAACAAACAAACAAATAAATAAATAAATAAATAAAATAAGGCTGCACTGCTGCAAGTCAGCACAAGATGATGTAATGTTGTCAAAGAAGATAACACAAGGTATTTTCTGTGATTTCTTTGACTAGTTTAGTCTGCATTCACACATTCAGTGTGTACAATTTCAAAGGAAATTTGCCATATCAAATAAGCTTCCGTAGTGAAGTACAGTATGTCCAGTTAAGGTGAGCGGACTTGACAAACCACCTGTAGGGGACACTCTTTGCATCAGACACTTTCTTACAAACACTCCATTACAAGGACTCAATAATAATAATAATAATAATAATAATAATAATAATAATAATAATAATAGCTAAACTATCATAGAATTATCATGGCATCTATACATTGCTGCTCTCAAGTGCTTCTTTTATCGTCATTTGTAAGTTGCTTTGGATAACTCGTTCATTGCTAAATGAATAATTGTAAATGTAAACAACTGCTAGTAGTTTTTGCACCGGTTAAATTGCACCAGTTAGGCCATGAGCGTTGTAGCCTTAACTATTATGAGAAAAGTCTTAATTATAATTGTATAATTAATTGTATTTATACAGGGTGTTTTAAAAAGAATACCACAACCTTCGGGTTGATGTATATGAACTTGTTTTCAATTGAAAAAAAAATAAATAAAATTTAAGTACTCTTCACATTGATTAATTGCCCAAGGTCATGTTTCTTTGATTAAATACAGATTTTCAAAGTTGTGGTATTCTTTTTGAATGACCCTGTATATAGTAATATTCAGATTGTCAAGAAGCTAAAGTATCTTCTAAATAACAATGGTTTTATTTATGTATTTAAAAAATATATATATGATTGAAAATAAGGATGTTTAAATTTTTTAAGCAAAAGCAACAACTATGCTCTCTCAAGTATAAAATCCTGAAATCATCCCTGGTTTAAGGCACAGTTTTTCTGCAGTAATTTCCATATGATAGTGTATTAAACACAAAAAGATGTTCAGTGTCTGTGCTTTTTCTCTCCGAAAGTTATTTGCAATATAATGATTATTTGAAATTGACGTGCAGGTGTATGAAATCCCTCACATAAGCACTCCTAAATGCAGGCACATTCTAAGTATGTTTTCTTCAGCAGTTTCTGGTTGTTCTTATTGTTTTTCTACTGGTATGCATGAGTACTGGACAAACAAAACAACAAAGGTGGAACAAATTCAAAAATATATATTACCAAGTGACATATTTCTGCCCTGGCATCCATATTACAGCATTTGCAGTTTTTATGCTTGTTTGCTTTTTTGTAAATCTGTGTGAATTTAAATAATCCTAAATTATAAATCTGTGTTATCTTCTCCTTATTCTATAGTGTATAAGGTGTATATTTATTTATCATGTTACCATAAAATCTAAATATCTAACAGCACTGGGCATTTACATGTTTTTGGGGAAACAAATGTCCACTATTTGTGGACTATTAAGTGGAAAGATTAGAGATTAAATGTTAAGTTTAAAGCTCGTATTTTAATAAAGGGTGACATTAACTGCAAATTAAATTATAATTTCATGCGCAAAATTAAAAGTAATTATAATGCACCAACATGTAGTACATAGTTAAGGCCACCTAACATAAATGTGACCATGATTAAATAAACATGCCCATAGATTCCAAAATGTTTTATGTCGAGATAAAAGTACTTTATAAGATGTTAAATGATGTAACTCTTAATTCAAGGGATTTATATTATATTATTTATTTATTTTTTAAAAAGGGGGACATTTAGCAGGATAAAATATGGGTCACAGCTTAAATATTACATGTTTGGTAGTTAAACTGAATTAATAATTAAAAATACTTGTTTACTGCAGGAAGGAATTTCATCAAAGTTCAACAGCAAATACACAATTGATGATCTTTTTTTATGTTGGCTTTATTTGATGTCAGAATTTGGAATCTAACATGAATATTTCTCTTAATAAAAAAAAAATTAAAAATTTTTGCCTCAGATGCATAGAAAAAATAAACGAGACCAAAAAGGGCACAGTATTTATGGAAAGTGCTCATTTGTCTTCACTTTCCATGCATTTGCTGAGTCTTCTGGAATTTTAATCAGTGCTCATTTATATCTATTCAAAGCAAAAGATGAAGATCAAAAATATGTCACTATGTTTCAGACCATCTTTTTTTTCTTGTCACTCAGAAAATAAATAAATAAGTCTTTTTTCTTTCTTATTTTAATCAGCACTATAAATTCTGCAGGTCATGCATAATACAGGGGTTAGCACTTCTGAAAGATGGTGAAAGAGAATGATATATGATATGCGTTAATAACATTCTCAGATCTTGAGTCATGCAACAGCTAAATGGAAAAAATGTACAATTTTTGGACATTAAAGCATTAAAAGGCTGTATTGTCATCTGATATGCTATCAAGATGCAAACTCAGCCAAAGACTAACACACATCTCTTATATCCTGTCAGAAGATATCCCTTTTTGTCTGGGATCCAAAATCTTTAAACTTCTGATTTCAGTGTGATTTTCAAGTTTTATCTGATACCAAAAACCATTATCTGCTGCATTTGGTCTGATATCCATACTAATCATCCACTCTTCTATCAGCTTGTTGAATAATTTAAGGTGTATTAGTTGACACTTTTTTTCCTGTACTGTTTTTAAAGATTTACAGTGGGCAAAATAAGTATCAAACATGTCACCATTTTTCTCAGAAAACATCTTTCTAAAGGTGCTGTTTACTTGAAGTTTTCCTTGGGTGTCGATAATAACCAGAGAAATCCATTTATGCAAAGAAAACAAATCGAATTAGTTTACAAACGAAGGTATGTGTAATAAAATCAAATGACACAGGGAAAAAGTATTGAACACATGAAGAAAGGGAGGTATGGAAAGACAGTGAAAACCCAGACAGCAGCTGAAATCTCTCAGTAGATATTCAGCAACCCTCTGCCCTTAATCATTGCAAATTAATATTCGTGGCTTCAATCCAACATCTATATTATCAGGATGATGAAAATTGTTGGAATAATCAATCAATTCCATGCGTGTTCAATTAAAAAAATGAAAAGAGGATTTTCTTTAAGGTTTTAAATATTAGCAATCTATTGTAACCAAATAATAATTCGATGTACAGAATTCTGTTATCCTCAATGCAATGCAAGAATTACATCCAGGAGGTTTGCCCAGTTTTCATTTCCTGGCTTCAACTTATATAGGCAGCTGATATTAATAGGTCAAGTATTAATCATTCACCAGTCCTCAATTGGCCGCACCCATACATGCATCCTCTTTTTCTAGGAATTTTCTGCACAACATTAAAAGCATAAGACTTTCTCAACTGTTCTGTGTTCAGTTTTAACACCCATCTGCTGACAGGAAGTTTCTAGCGGTAGAGCTAAAGTTAATTTTGGACAAGCATTTATCTACTTTTGCAAAAATGCTGCATTGGTATGCAAAACATATCAGACTTGAGAAAAAGTTCAGTTAAAACACCACCTCCAAGCAACACAAAAACGGTTTAATGAAAAGAAAAAGATACAAAAATATGTTTAAAAAAATCTTTTGTAATTGCTTTTTCCTTAAAAGATGAAGCCAGAGTGGACAATTTAGCAAGACAATGACCCAAAACACAGCCCAGGAAACTCAAGGAAATGGTTTCAGAGAAAGAAAATCAAGCTGAGAATGGCCCAGCCAATCACTTGACTTAAATCCAATAGAAAATAAAGATCTGATTTGATAGACGAAACCCACAGAACCATTAAGATTTTTACACTCTGTTCATGTCTGTGAAAAACTCACACTTGAGCAATGGATGTGACTTCATTCTACATATGAGACTCGTCTTTAAGCTGCCATCATTAAAAAAGCATTTTATGAAAAGTAATAAATACATTTCAGTAGTACTTTCTCCTTGTGACATTTTATTTTTTTATTAAACAGAACTCATTTTTTAGACTTTTTTGTTTTGTTAAATCTTTATGTTTGTATTGTTTGGGTTTTTACCAAAATCTAGTTCAATTCAATGTCAACAGCTACTTTAGAAATATTATTTCAGGAAAAGCATGACATGTTCAATACTTATTTTCCCCGCTGTATGTTAAAGACCTTCAAGAAATTCACTGAGAGGTTCGAGCTTCATGATAAAATCTATACTGACAAATCCTGGCAAACAAAATAAAAGGTACTTTATACAGAACTTCACTTTTAACCAGCAGAAAAATATAATTTGGTGGGAAAAATCCAACATAACTAACACTTTTAAACATTATAATGCATTTAATTCTCTTACCAATGTCTCGGAAGTTCAATCCCAATTCCCCAATCTCCTTTATTCCAGCAAGCAAAGGATATTATGGAGGTAATGGGTTATTGCAGAGGGAATAAAAAAGCCCAGACCGCAAACATCTTTCTGGAAAACGAATGTAAACAGATCAGAGCTGGTTACATTTTGATATGAAAAATGAACAGTAGACAAAACTTTTCTTAAATGTCATGCGTCCAATCATCTATCGCTTTTCATCAGATGAAAGAGAAGATTTGTTCTTGTTAACTAGCTGTCAGCCTCAATATCTCCAGTTAATCTCTCTTCTGCCAATTTACATCAATTTCTTTTACCACACTTCTGTTTCATGCAAATACGTCGATCTAGAAGCAGATTATACTTGTTGAGCCATTAAGGACACTCAAGACACTCATATATTCATAATCTCCAAAAAAAAAAAAACAAAAAAAAAAAACATTTCCTCCACTAAAGTTAATATACACCTACCTATTAATACACCTGGGTTCAACTCAATCACATGTAAATATATGGCAAGAATTGTTTTTACAGACACATGTGTGCACGCACCCACAAGCATGGTTATTTACTAGAAAATAAAATAATGCTAAGCAACATTTGGAATACATCTTGAAGTTTTAAAGTGGAATATTGAAATGGTACTTTGATGTAAAACATACTTTGTTTTATTTACAACTACCAAAAATATATTTTTTAAGTTTAATGTAAATTACTGTGCATTAATATAGCGCATTTATTATGTATGGCCATACACGCAAAGCCCTTCACAATCATGAGGGGGGTCTCCCCACTCCACCAATGGGGTGCATAATCCACTTAGATGTTGCGACGGCAGCCACAATGGCAACGGCGCCAGTGCGCTCACAACACACCAGCTATAGGTGGAGTGGAGAGAAATAGTGATAGAGCCAATTCGGTGAATGGGGATGATTGGTAGGCCATGATGGTTAAGGGCTGATGCAAGAAATTTAACCAGGACCCAAGGTTACACCCCTATTCTTTATGAGAAATGACATGGGATTTTTAATGACCACAGAGAGTCAGGACCTCGGTTTAACATCTCATCTGAAAGACGGCGCTCACTGACAGTATAGAGTCCCCTTCACTATATCGGGGCATTAGGACTCACATAGACCACAGGTTGAGCGCCCCTGCTGGCCTCACTAACACCACTTCCGGCAGCAACCTAGTTTTCCCATGTGGTCTGCCATTAAGGTACTGACCAGGCTCAGCCCTATTAAGCTTCAGTAAATAACCGGTCTTGGGCTGTAGGGTGATATGGTTGTGTATTTGAAGGTGTGTAAATGAAATTTATCAAAAATAAACTATTGCAAGCATTTTTCCTGTTCTCAAATAAAAGTTGATAAGCCAATACATTTACATATTTATAAATTATTGTAATAAAATAAAAGCTACTTATATGAGATATGCGATATGTGTTAGGATATATTTATAAGTTTTCATTAGTAGAGAAAAGACGGTTAAAGTCTGGCTTCACTGCTGCTAAAAGATTCTGTTCACAATATTCTTTGTTTATAATGCAGCAATGCAATGATTAATGAGGCTAAAATACATACTGACTACATTCGTTCATTGTCCTTTGGCTTAGTCCCTTTTATTCAGGGGTCGCCACCATGGAATGAACCATCAACTATTCCGTCATATGTTTTACGCAGCGCATGCCCTTCCAGATGCAACCCAGTACAGGGAAACACCCATACACTCTTGCAGTTACACACACACACACTCATATTCTAGGGCCAATTTAGTTAATCCAATTTACCTATAGCGCATGTCTTTGGAGTGTGGGGGAAACCGAAGCACCCGGAGGAAACTGCACGCAGAAATTCCACCTGTTCCAGTCGGGACTTGAACTAGTGACCTTATTACTGTGAGGTGACAGTGCTAAACAAACCACCATGCCGCCCCATAGTGTGACTTACTGAGTAATATAGCCTCAAGCTTTAAAATAATTTCTCTTAATGGAAGTTGTATGTAATTTACCTGCTGCTGTTGGTTAACTGTATGTCATGATTCTTTTAAATATAGTATTTATTTCACTTTAAATATATGTACGGTCATTCTTGCTTTGTTATGCTACCATTTTTAAATAAACAAAAAGAATTACAAAAAACATATCATATTAATATAAATGTATGAATAAAGTATGACATAACGCAAAGCATAACATAATATAATATAAAATTACACAACATAGAGCATACAGTAACATAATCTGCTGTTTTTCTCTACAGGTGCCCAAAAGCCATAGAAATGGATGCCAGCCCTTTTTTTTACTGCCTCTTTCAGGCAAATATGCATCCATAGGACAGCACTTTTCCCTGGCGGCAAATCTAATTATAGCCAACAGAAAGTAGTGTGGAAGTTGATTTCAGACTCAGCAGTCGTGTCCCTTCAGCACACACTGATTCGGGCCCTTCAAAGGCCTCATGTTATCTCCCACAACCAGCTTTTCCTCAGAGTTGTTGAAGTCGGGGTGTGCCACGCGACGCTCCACTATGTTTAGGATCAAACGCAACAAATTCGGTCATGATATTACTCTCCGACTGGGCTCTAGTAATGTGACACAGCGCAGCACTGCATCTGCACTTATTCTATAAAAAGCAGTATGTCACTATCAGGTTTGTGGCCAGCTAGAAGGTCACAACAAGCCAGAACTCTGGCATTTTTTCATGCTGAAAAACACAATACAAAGTACTGTGAATGAAAAGAGATTTAAAATGCTGATGAATAAAGTCATGTCACTGATTCTGCTCCACCATGCTGCCAGATTTAGTTATTTTAAGGGTACCACTTTAATTTAAGGTGACGTAGTTACACCTACTATAGTAATTACAATGAATTATGCATAATTATATGTAGCTAAAGCAAACCCACATTTTAACCCCAACCTAATAGCAAGTACATGTACACTACCTGACAAAAGTCTTGTCGCCTATCCTAGTTTTAGGAACAACAAATAACAACTTGACTTCTAGTTGAACATTTGGTATCAGAAGGCCTCTAGGTTACACTTATTTTACCAAAATAAAATATGATCATGGCTTGATTTTTAATTTTTTCAATAGGACAGTAAGGTCCTAATTTGATTAGACAAAAGTCTTGTCACTTAACCGAAATAATGTCCAGTATAGAATATAAAGTCATGGTGCAGTGGAAAAAGAATTAATATTGTGTATGACTCCCATGAGCTTAGACGACTTCATCCATACATCCCTGCAATGACTCAAATAACTAAAGTCATCTGGAATGGCAAAGAAAGCATTCTTACAGAACTGCCAGAGTTCATTAATATTCTTTGGATTCATCTTCAATGCCTCCTCCTTCATTTTACCCTAATTTAAATAAATACATACATTTGAAGCATGTATTACACAAACTAACATTACCGAAAAAGTTGACCCCCCGATCGTCAATGTATAATACGTAAACTGCTAATTACTGTTAATAAGCAGCAAATTAAGAGTTTACTGAGGCACAAGTTATAGCTAATGGTTTATTACTAGTAAGAATTGTATCTTAAAAAAGTTTAACGAGAGAAACGTGCCCGACGATCGGGGTTACCATAGTCCTAACATTCGATGACCACCCGTTCCACAATGCCCCGGCCCCTTACGACTCCCCCTGTAGGTGGTGGGCCAGCAGGAGGATGGTCCCACATAACTCCTTCGGGCTTAGCCCAGCAGGGTTCTGTGGGAAAAAACCAAGCTACAAAGTGCTCGCATACAAGCCCCAACCCCAGGCCTGGCTCCAGGGTGGGGCCCTGGCTGCACCACAAAAGGTGGCTTGTCATCTCCAGGGTGGAGGAAAGTCCTTAACCCAGGTGGAGGAGTATCTTGGGGTTTTGTTCACGAGTGAGGTAAGGATAGAACGTGAGACTGACAGGCGGATTGGTGCAGCGGCAGCAGTAACGCTGTCGATGTACCGGTCCGCTGTAGTAAAGAAGGAGCTGAGCCGAAAGGCAAAGCTCTCGATTACCAGTCAATCTACATTCCTACTCTGACCTATGGTCATAAGATTTGGGTCATGACCGAAAGGACAAGATCTCAGATACAAGCGGCCGAAATGAGTTTCCTTTGCAGTGTGGCAGGGCACACCCTTATAGACAGGGTGAGGAGCTCTGACACCCGGGAGGAGCTCAGAGTAGAGCCGCTGCTCCTCCACATCGAGAGAAGTCAGCTGAGGTGGCTCGGGTATTTGTTTCAGATGCCTCCAGGATGCCTACCTAGGGGGGTGTTCCAGGCATGTTCCACCAGGAGGAGGCCCCGGGGAAGACTGAGGACACCCTGGAGGAACTATGTCTCTCAGCTGGCCTGGGAACGCCTCGGGATCCCCCCGGAGGAGCTGGAGGAAGTGTCTGGGGTGAGGGAAGTCTGGAGTTCTCTCCTAAGACTGCTGCCTGGACCCGGATAAGTGGATGAAAATGAGAGAAACATAATAGTCATCAGGATTGTAGGATATGGTTTCATTTAAATGCCATCAAAACAGTAGCCTAATGACTCTTGTACATTGTCCAGGATGAAGGCTATATGCTCTTTCATCAAGTTTAGCAATTAGCTAGTATTTTGCAGAAGTCTTGCTAAAATTAATAAACCTTCGTTAAACATCCATATAGAGCATAATGCCCCATAATCTGAAATGACATCACATTACACAATAGATCACATGGCATTTTGCAATAGATTTTAATTCGATTTAAGATTTTCATTCATACTTTTTTTCATTCATTTTCTTTTCGGCTTAGACTTTTAGATTTTAGAAATGACACTTTACAAATATAGAAGATTTGTGCAAATTTGTAATGGTGCCTAATGCTGCCCTAGCAAGCAACTACACACACACAGACTGACAGATAGACAGACAGACACAAGCACGCACAGACAGACATACGCTGATACACACTGACATGCAGCTCAAGTCAGGTAAATGCTGCATTTTTCTAATATCTTTGGCTTTTCCCTCCAATCACATCTGTAATCTGGGGCCAGTCTGTCCGTTTCTCCTCTGTTTTTTTGTGTGTCTGCCTGTGTACTGCAGAAGGGGACTCAGCTGTAACCGGGACTCACTCACTCACTCTCTCTCTCTCT